ACCAAGGGGCTGAGGCAAGTCAGAAGCAAAACTGGAGGTAGATCTCTTTCATGACTTTGGCAGGGTAAGAATCTTGCCTGTCCTCATTCCAACAGCAGTCAATAGTTTTATGGGCCAAACCAATACAGTGGTAGACAATGCGCCTCTGAACGGTTTAAACATTACCTGGCTTTTCCTCAGGCTCCTGAAGGGGAAGAAACAAATCTGGCAGCTCATAAAGTCAAATACAGCCCAGTTGCTAAGGCAACCCAGCATACTGATAAGAACAGCATACTAATAGACAACAACAGGCACGAGACTCACCTGCCTTTAGATTTCCCCCCCCACACCAAATGCAGAGCAGAATCAAAAGCAATAGGCAGGGTGGGGCTCTGCGGAGAAATAGCAATGCTCATCCTTCTAAGCTGCTTGTACGAATGGGACAGGTCTGCCTCAGACACGCACAGAGTGAACCTGGAGCATAATGGGTCTTATTGGGTCCCAACTGCAACAGGACAGGGAGCCCTTGGGGGGAGCCCAGCTGCACGTACCACTGTTCTCCAGTACCTTGCCTCTCACACCCGTGCAGTCGTTCAGTTAATATCTGTACTGGGCAGTGCTCGAGTAAAGGGGTAGTTATATCTGTATCCCAAAGTTTCAGGGCCAGTGGTTGCTGTGGATTAGTGAACAAGCCTTTCAGTCCCAGGGAGCTAGTACAGAAAAAGACACTGGGAGCTGGAAATCTCAGGAACCTGCTCAGCAACGTAATTCTCCTCACAAGAAACATCCAGAATTGTATTAGTGAGTTTTAAGTGACTGAATCAAAAGTGAGGTAAGTACCAGCATGTCATTAGATTAACTGGAATGTTTCTAAGCCAACCACTATGTAATAAAAGTCAGGACGAAACCAACCCTGTTGTAGTCGGATAATCCCTTAACTGCCTCTTGCAGGGATTCCTGTGTCTTCCTTTAAGCAACTGACAGGTTTCTGGTGAGATCTAATATGTCAGTTCCCATTTTCCTGCACGCTAACAAGCTGAGGTGGACATAGATATCTGAAAAAAAGGACATTTTTGACACCTAAATAAAGTTTTGTGGTGAAAACCTGCCCTGGTTGAAGTCAACAGCAGAGCTCCCAAGGAAAGCCATGGGGGCAGAACTTCAGGATGGCTGCAGGGAGGGTTTCTGCTGGCTGTGGTTCCTCCAGGGCTGCAGCGCATGCCTCAGCCATGACGTGCTACAAACACTTGCCAATGCAATAACCCCTGCCTCTCCTTGTACCTTGGGGAAGTACCTTTTATGAGATATCAAAGTCCTAAAATGTTTGATAACAAAACCCTCCCAGTCAGAGGTGTACAGGGAGTGGAATTTCCATTCTGCAGAAGAGCTAATTTCAGGAGCCTCTCTTGATTGAAACTGCAACTGTGTTAAACACCCTCCCCCAAAAAAAGAAAAAAAAAGTTGTTTTTTTTGTTTCCCCACGGAGTGAAATCCTTGGAGACTATTTGGGGGGAACCAAGATGGGCTATTTAAAAAATTCAGAGCTAAAAGTAAGCCAGATAAGACTGCCTGCTTGCTAGAGTCCAAGTTAGGAGCTGACTACCAACAAAAACTGTTGCTGCTTTGAATTAGCAGTTCCAGTGGGGAAAATTGTCCATTACACCACTCTGCTAAACTCCCCGTCTGAGGTATTTTTAATATTTTAAGTGCTGTCATAGCTAGATGACTAGTGATGCCTGAGTTAGTTAGCTTAACCCTTGCCTGGTGTATTTACAGGGGATGCAAGTCTGCCTTTGGATCATCCCAACACAATGACCTCTAGTTCTGACAAAGTTATGGAAAAGACTCATGCATATTGTGTTGAGAAGACAGCTAAACATAATTTTTAAAATCAACTTTAGCCATTGATGAATAATATATGGGACCTTAATGAGTAACATAAAGATACTTTATGCCTCTTGCTTTGCTAGAAAAGTGTAAAATGGCCTTAGAGAAAAAGAGAGTAAGACCTTCAACTTGAAATTCTTTGCTGTAAAAGGGAAAGTGCTTTACCAGTAAAATTAATATTTTGAGAAATGATATTACATAAAAAGGTAGGAAAGATTAGTCAGCCGGTGAGTAGAGGTCATTATTTTGCCTGACAGGAAGTCCAGAGCTCTATTGATCAACCTCCTGAAAACAAAGTATTTGTGGATAGCAGCAAGTGAAAACATTGCTTTCTTTCTCAGCACCACGTAATTGCATGCTGCATTTAAAAACAGACTCTATCTACAAGTAAACAGGTTTATGAGTCTGTGAGTTATCTTAAGTCCAGGAATAATTCCTTCTACAATTTAAAATATCTAAGCTGGGAATAGAACATGTTTTTGGAGCTCAGCCCAATGTTTTAGTCAGCAGCCCATGGGGCTTCCTTGGTAGCTGCTCCTCATTGCTATCTCCCCTGAAAATCACCTGCATGCAAATGGTTAACCCAGCAGAAAGTCAAGGGTCTCTTCTCACCAGTGTAAACAGATAAGTAGCTAGCTCTGGCACTGGACTATTGGTAAATCTTGTCATTACCCAACCCATCAGTCTTCCTCATCCATAAAATGGAAATAATGCCAGTGATTTTTAAAAAGCTCTTTTTAACAATACATCTGTATTGATGTATATTTGCAGTTTAAGAGCCAAATGTTACAATTTTCATGGTCTCCCTCAAATCGAAGTGGTGAGCCATGGTTGGTCAAAAGCCTCCATGTTAAGTATAGCAATGTCAGTGAAGATAAGGACACTCAGGTGGAAAATAGATTTATGCTGACGTAAAAAAGAAATGCTCTTAAAATGAAATCACTTAATGGCAAGAGCTCTAAATTGAAGGTTGTGAGATGGGGGGGGGAACAGGTAGAAAGGTGTGTACTTTCCTTCTAGGGGGCCTAAGTATGCTGCCACTGAATTCAATAGCACCAATGAAGCTGACTTCAGGTGTGAAACAAGGGCTGTCTACATTTTTGGTACTAATGTAGGTTTTTTCACCTTCAAATTGGCTGTGAGGCCTTTATAGGGTCCAGCTACAGCTCAGGAGCCATTACAACCCAACCAGAGTAGCACTAGCTTGTGCCTGTACAGCAAGTGAGGCTTGTTGGCGTTTACAATTAAAGGACATAGGGTACTGACGGAAGTACACTGGCAAATTTATCAGTAGAAATCTAAGAGGCTAGCAACTGCCAGCTATGTCAACCCTGACCCTTGGCCATAAAGCACCACCCTCATCTGAACTGAATGCTTGAGTATACCTCAGGTCTTTTTGGCATGAAATACTTCACCAGCTCTTTAAGACAGGCCACCCATGCTGGTGGGTCTAAGTAAAGCCATGAGACTGCGAGTGAAAGCAGCTAAGCAGGCAAATATAGCCTGCTTATAACACTTTAAACTGCTACACCTATTTGCCAAGCAACCGTGTTAGGCCCAAATATCCATGGGCTTCGGCTCTGTTGCCCTGCAAACAACATAGGGATGGAAAGGACGTGGGAGTACTCGTTACAGGGCTGGTGTCACTGGGCCCAGTGTACAACGTGCAGAAACCAAAGATTCCCAATTATGTAAGAAAACTCCTGGGTTTAAATTAAAAAATTACACCACCACCCGCTCCCCATATTTTTTCTTATATTCTTTTCAGTCTAGGCTTCATTCTTAGAGAATGTTTCCCTCTGAAAAAGAAAAATTAACACCCCCCTGATCTTCCAGTAGTACTTTATGGAAAGGAAATCTCCAGTGATGCAACTAGTAGGGTATCTTCTCGGCCATAACATTAAGTATATTTCTTAACTTGCTGAGAATAGTGTGGGTAATAAAAATCAAAAGGAGAGACACAAATGCCAGCCAGACAAAAATGTCAAAAGATTAATTTCTGTAACCCATCTCTGTATTATGTGAAAGGATCATGGCCCTTGTTGTGCTTGATGTTTGACTAGATGGTGAGATATGTACCTTTTGAATTTAAAGTGGCAAGTTTTAAGAAAATAGAAAATCTTCCTCATTAAAGCTGAGGCAGCACCACATCTGTAACAAATTTAAGGCATGTAAGGACAAAAAAGAACAAGGTGTTTTAAAATGTACCTCTGTGGACATGTGTAATACCCCACAGCAGCTGGGCATCATGTTAGTTCACTGCTGACATAAACAGAATCACAGAATCATAGAATCATTTATGTTGGAAAAGACCTTTAAGATCATCAAGTCCAACCGTTAACCTAGCAATGCACGGAATGTTTTTGGGTGTGGTGTGTATTTACATGTCTCAAAAGAAATTGGTTACTGGGGCATTCAGCATATTTCTGAAGTGGTTGGATTCCCCTTCCCCCTCTCCCTATCTATTTACAGTTCCCTTTCAAGTACAAAAAACATTTTCTGTAACCTCAGCTTCCTGATTCAGCTGTTGTGATGTCAGTTAGTTACGATAACAAAAGTGAGACAATGCCTGTGGTTTGCGTGGGACAAAGGCAACCTTGTTTCTGTAAAAAGGGACAATCCTAGTGTGAGAAGCACAGGAAAGCCTACGAAGTAGGACTCCGAGGTGATATTTCGTTAGTCCCGCCATCTCCATAATAGTGGACTTGACACTGCATTATCTCAAAGGCCACTGACAGAGGTTTTTTTCCTTTCCATAGGACTGGACACTAATGTGAATGCAACTCTTGGAAAATTATCTCTTTGCAGGACAAGGCTTTGGAGATAGGTATCTTGGGAAACAAATGGATTGCTAGTGGGTAGAGAGGCAGTGAGTGTCAGGACACAAACGTTTCAATACCAGTTACGCATTCTGTGGTCACAAGCAAGTCACTCTGCACCTTTGCTTACCTGCCATGAAATTGGTTTAATCATATTTAACTGCGTAAACCACAGATGTGGTGAAACCTGCAGAATGCCAGTAAACTCTTGAGGTCACAGAGTAGCAAAAGGAAATGAGAAGCTCTTAATACACAGCATGGTTAGTTATGAATGAAGAGTGTCAACTTTGGTGTAGCCTAGAGAATGTCACTTACCTGCTATTCTTCCAATTGGCATTGCATGGTCCTCAGGAGGGGATACAGACACCATGATGTGGTTCATATAAGCTAACTCTTCTCGGTGGGACAGGTTGATTGGCTTTACCTCCCTGTGCAGCCCATCCTCAGACAACCTTGGCGGTTTGAAATCGGAGTGCCTGGGGTTCAGTATCAAAGGATGCATGATAGGGCTGGGCATCAGCTGGATGACCCTGGTGTTCTCTTGGCGAGGGCTGGAGGGCTTCTGGAGCACCTCAGAAGGAGGCGGGCAGTGGTTGTTTTCTATCGGGGACACTGAGAGAGGATAGGGCTCCTGGTGGTTGTTCTCTTGCTGATGCCTTGTCCCCGGCACCCTGTCGGCTGGGGAGAGGCGACGGATAGTGTTGTCCATAGGGGACTTCAGTGGCCGCTGATCGGGATCTGGTGATGGACGGTGGTTGTTGGTGATGGGTGATCTAGAACGATGCAACAGTTCAATGGTTGGGGGGTTGTGATGGACTGTTTCTGTGGATGGTCTTGAAGGTCTCTGGACAAAGCTATCTGTGGAGAAAAAAACCAAAAAATACAAATTGTCTATATTGTGATCAAGGTGTAGGATCTAACTGTCAAACTGCTGGCTGGGCTTACTGGGTACTGCTGTCAGCTTGGAAATGTTTTTATTTGTGTGACCTACAGAGGCTCAGAAAAATGCCATATAAATGCAGATAGTTATTACTACACAGAATGAACTCAGTACTGTGAAAACAGTTTCTCTCTACCACCATGTAACTGTAGTTCCCGGGGAAACGTGTTAAGAGAAATCCCATTTTGAGAAGCTGACTGCGACACGTGAAAGAAGTAAGATCTGATTCAGCTGTACTAACTGTGTTTCTGTGCAAATGCTTTGAAACTTATCTCCTGCCATTCATGTCTCTATATGTGGTTCCTGTTATTGTACCATGATGAGCACTGTAAGGTAGAGGGCAGAGATAAAAAGGGAAAACGTCTCCAGGAAAATATTGGGTAGTAAGTTTTAGATGGTAGAGGCTTGGGTCAAGGTAGAGAATATCTTAGTCTGAAATATGGGCTGGGTTATCTAAAAAAACCCACTGATAGGAAGCTTTTTGTGAAACACTAGCTAAATTTTATCCCTGCCTTGATTTTAAGAGCATGTAACATCTTCATAAGGATATTTTCACCTTGTTTTATTTAGACTGTGCTGTCTACTGATGGACTGATGGGTTGTCCTAAGGGAGACAAACATAACTTTCTGGCAGTGCACAAAGACCCAGCAAAGTTTGCATGAGCACACTTCCCCAGCTATGATCCTTAACAGTAGGGGGGAGATCAATCACAGCTTTAGGTCAATGTCTTTATGAACTAACAATCCTCTCACAAAATGAAATGCTTGACATAAACAGTGCAAACTTTCAGCTTAGCTAAGGCCATCAATTTTGACTTGGGAAATTACTGACAAAGAGGAAAATACCACCAGATCGCAGTGACTAACAGGTTATTATCTGAAAAACAAAGATCAAATTTCAGTGCTGTTTGTTGAAAGCCTTGGATGATAAGAGAAGGAAACTGCTGGGTACATGTCAACAACTGAAACAAGTAGCTACCTATTTGTGGCTGCCTGTTTGTTCACTCCATTTGCTCTGATCCTCTTTAATGATTCTCTTGCTCTCTTGTCAAGGCTGTGATACTCGTTGAAGACCCTGTCTAGGTGAAGACTCAGGGGCTCCCACTGCCCTGGAACCCAGGCAGGCATCAGGAGCAGGATCAGCACTTACCCAGGGAAAGGCCTGAATGGGAAAAGCTCTAATCCTGAGGAAATGTAGTGCCAGGCAGTGACATAGCACCAACCCTTTTGCCTACTCAGTGGGGCTGTTCATCTATACAAGGATGCTGAAGTCTACAGGAAAACCTGAAATTTTAGCCAGAAACTACACGGCTCCAGAACACTTGTTTCACACACTTGTGGTCCCAGACAAGAAAAATGCATTTTTAGAGCTATTTAAGGTACTCACAATGAAACAACCGGAAAACATGAAACTCCAGAGCTATATATTGTTCTTGTTTAAACCCAGATAGTTTTAAATACAATGTGGCCAGCTAATGTGGGATAGACCAAATGATGTGAAGATCAAAGAGGAATTAATTTACAACTGTACCTACCTTTGTGGCTGTCTTTTCTTAAAGTCTCCTTTCTTTGCCACGATAGAAAGAAAACCAACACCCAATTTTACTCAGCGTCCTATCTTCTACAGACCACCTACCCCCATCACTGTACATTCAAATGCACTGTGCTCATTCTTGGCCTGTAAATATAGACCAGAATATTGTATTTTTTGTCCTACTTATTTCAGGTGCCTTGGCTGTGAGGAGCAGCTAACTGGAAAGCAGAAAGGAATGCTTTGCTGTGCTTTCCACCAAGCTCTCTGCAAACATTAGTTGGCTCTGACAAGCTCCAAATAGAAGCAGACCTATCTGTCTGCTCCCAAACCATGGTGATCCTGAACCAGGACAGGGTGCAGAGAAGGTAGGGACCAAAGAACTCTTTAAAAAGCAGCAAGAGGGAAAACCACAAATGGATAGACACTAGTGTTCACCTTCCTCCAAGATCTTTCTCTTTAAATACTTAACTAAAGAATCCCCTCATGGCCGAAGTTGCTGTTTACCATAAAACAATTCAAACCCAGCTCCAAGCAGTTCCACTGCCACGAATGACCCTGAACAGAATAAAATCCTCATCGCACTAATTCTTTGGCACATCTGATTATTCTAAGTTAGCACATATGGTATATAATTTCCTGCAGAAATAGATTAGATAGATTCACTCATCAGTCTGGCTCTTCATTCTGAGTGACAAAAACTCTTTAAGCTGTGAAAGGGAATTCAGCTCCCAGGAAAACTGCTGACCTATCTGATCCATATAGGGATGGGTGGGGCTGCACTCTGGGAGTGAGCAATTGCTGGCGTGACAATCCCAAAGATTGGCACTCTTTGCTTACTCATAAAAGAAGTGCAGGGAATGACAGTGTAAGCTTCCTGTATAGCACCCCATCAAATGACTCAGTGCTGAGTCAGAAGGACCACTGGAGATGTAGGTAATTCACTCTCCATTGCTCATCCCTCTTCAGGGACAGGGACCGATGCCCACAGGGCAGATTCCAAGCCAATGCCAATGCATCTTGGAGATATCCTGAACCACTGTCAACTGATTTCAAACAATCAAACCCACTTTGCTTAAGCTAGTAAAAAGCCACTAGCTGTAAATGTTGGTCTCATCTGATTCTGGATTAACTAACTTAAAATGAAAGCATTTAGAAGCAGGATCGTAAGCATATAATCTATTAGGAAATGGGCAAAAGAGCCAGTAGAAGAAAATGGAAAAACATCACTGGAGTAAGAAGGGATTCTAAAAAAGATCCATCACCTATGAAGTTTAACCACTTGAAATTGTGCCAAAGTAACACTTGACCCCTCTGTTACAGTTAGTGAGTTAGGCAGGATTAAGTTCTGCTTCTCACATTTATTCTCCTTTTTTAACTAAGTTGCATTCTGCTGAGGGAAAATGGTAAACTTAATTGTGCTGGTTTCTCCCAAGTGACTCTGTGGAACAGGAAGAAGAAAGAAGGAATGTCAAAATAAATAAATAAATAAATAAATAAATTCATCTGCCTATAAATTCTTGGCAGAGATTTTCTAATTGCTCAGAGTCTTGTGGCAGGCAAGGTGTAATTTCTTTTGCTTGTTTTGAAGTTCTTTTCACAGCGAAACAAGAACTAATTTTTGTCATTACAAAGAAAAGTTTTAAGTAATAGCACAGAGTTCTCTAAGCAAATACAGAGGTACTATCAGCAGCCAGAGTACTGTGAGGATGACATCAAAGTTGTTTCTTAATCACCCTGTGCTCTGACAGAAGTTGGACTAGATTGCAAAGGACTTAGTTTTAAGTGACGCACATGAAAGGCCAACTCAACATCCCTGTGAAATCCTCTCTAGAGTGAAAGTTGCTCCATATCTTTAATGTAGGGGTGTCTGAGAGGGCAGCTAGTATTTATGTTTGTAATTTAGAAAGAGAACACTTGTGGGTGAATGCCAAGCTTCAGGAAAAAAAGGAGATTTTTATAATGGTCTCTAGAAAGTGCCTATCTTAATACACTAGGTAACTGTCTCTTGCACAACTCTGCCAATTCAACCTCACCCTGACCTGTAGCACCCTCGTCTAATCTGAAATACTTACACAGCTGTGTGGAAACACTTTGGAGTGTCCTTATCCCACCTGCTGCTATCCTGCTCTTGGCTTAGTCTCAGAGTTTTGCTGGTGCCATTTGATTCTGGCTTGCTCAGGCTGGCCATGGGCAACTTGTACAGGTCTGACAGTACCCCTGAATCTGCTCTTGCAATCCCACGTTGAACCTTGAAAGACTAGAGTGATATCCTAACTCACTTCTGTTCTCTTCTCCTCTTTACTTAAAAAAGGAATAACACTATTTTTTCCTAGATTTTTTTTTAAATCGAAAAAGTGAATTCTGCCTGATGCTTTCATGGAAAGGACCTTTTAAAAGGCTTAGGCTTTTTTCTGTTTTTGGAGAAAACCAAGAAGTACTTTAGTGTGTATATTTTTGAAGAAAATAAAACCTCAATTTTCTGTTGAAGGAAGCATACTTACATTTTGATCTGTACTAATAATGAGTAGAAGAAGCCCAAATCTGCAATTCCACAAACATATCTATTCTTTCTTCACCATCTCTGACAGGCATGGTATGTGTGGACACTACTAGAAAGCTAACTAATAACCTAAGCAAGTAATTCTGATAGTAAAAATGAGGGAAAACCTGCAGAAAAAACCTTCTCTCAACATTAATTGTTCAATCAGCTCAAAAGCTGAGCAACAAGATGGGCTCAGTGCTAGGAACTCTGGCATGATGCGATGACAGATTGTCCGTTGAAGTGACTTTGAGTTAGATGTTCCTCTCTGAGGCTGCCTTCTCCCTTGCTCTGCAAACAATTGCATCTAGTTGCTTCTCCAGAATACTAAAAGTCCATGAAGCATCTTTGTCTACCTAACTGGGAGTGAGGAAAAATGAATCAATGGGGTCAATAAAACTTTCTGGTATCTTCTTAATCTGCATCTGGCATAGCTTTTAAGCAGGCTTTGGAAACAGGACAAAATAATAGATGATAAATGGAGAATAGACAGTCGACTCTCTAGACCAGTTGATTGTTCTAAAGCTATGGAGACAAAGGGAGGGGAATAGCTTTATTTAAGTAACTTTGGAGCAAGAAAATGACATAATTCTTCACAGCCTTAACCCTACTTGCCATTATAATGGCAGCTCCCATAAGAATGAGACAGCATTACCTTCATCATGATTCTGGTGTAGTATGACCTCTGGCTGAGCATGGATAGAGTTCCCAGGGTGGAAGAAAGGTGTGAAGAGCATACGAGCTTTCCTTTGCTTCAGGATATGCTGAAGGAGTTCATACAAAACATCACCTGAAAGACAAACAGCAGGAAAAAGGAAATGAAAACCTACATACTGCTGAGAAGACTCATTTAGCCATCTGATGCATGAATTCATGGCTCCTGGGTGCTATTTTCAGACCCAAAAATGCTTGCAGTAAAATCCTACATTTCACTGTTTTGCAAGGTTCTTCCCTGAAAGGAAAAAAAGAAAAAGCAAAGCTGCACATCATGCCTCTGTGTGTGACTGTGGAAAAACGGGAGAATGACAAGACATGGCTTTTTTTACCCCAATACAGATTTTTTTTTCAGGCTGCATGACTGCCCATCCAAGAGCTTTACAAGCGTTACAAGCAGTAGTTAGTTCAGTGTTCCACCTTCTCTCATCACAGCCTCAGTTTTTTAGATAGACACCTTAGGACACAGAATTCTTAAATGTAGAGCCCATGATTTATGCAGGGAGTTGCTAGGAGTAAAGATGGTGCTCTTCTTTAATTACTGAACAATTTAGGCTTTATGGGGGGAGGAGATAGAAGATGCTGTAAAACCTCTCCATGGTGCCTCAAGGCCAAAGGCAGTGTGCTACTCAGATACTCCATTCTAGGAAATCCACAGGAGGAAGAACTCTCACTTTGAGAAGTTACTCTGGGATGGACTCAAAGACTTGAAAAGGATGGAGAGATTTAAGTATCCTGAACACCCTTGCTGCGGTGACAACTCCTGGAGACACTCAACTGCTATAGGTGCCTTAAGAAGTTCTGTACGTCACTCTTGGTGTCATGGGTTGGACTCCTGAAAAGCCCAAATGGGATCCCAAAGCTAGTTATTTCTAGCTACTAGAATCTGTATGGAGCTCACTGCAACAGGCAATATTAGACCACGGATATGATGCAGACTAAGGAACAAAACGCAGCAGACTTGGTGCTCTCTGTGGGCGAATATAGTCTGTTAGTTGCTATTGCATCACCCTTCCACAGAAATGTCTGCAGCGAATTGCATGGCACCAAGCTGACATGTTCTTGCATGAATTGATCCAGATGCTTGTTTCTTTTTGGGGTGCAGGCAGGCTGTTCCTCGATTCTCCCCCATTCCCTGGCACCAGAATTGTTATGAAAAGGACATGGGGGTGCTGGTCGACAGCCGGCTGAACGTGAGCCGGCAGTGTGCCCAGGTGGCCAAGAAGGCCAATGGCACCCTGGCCTGTATCAGAAATAGTGTGGCCAGCAGCAGTAGGGAAGTGATCGTGCCCCTGTACTCGGCAGTGGTGAGGCCGCACCTCGAATACTGTGTTCAGTTTTGGGCCCCTCACTACAAGAAGGATGTTGAGGTGTTAGAGCATGTCCAGAGAAGGGCAACGAGGCTGGTGAGGGGTCTGGAGAACAAGTCTTCTGAGGAGCGGCTGAGGGAGCTGGGGTTGTTTAGCCTGGAGAAAAGGAGGCTGAGGGGAGACCTCATTGCTCTCTACAACTACCTGAAAGGAGGTTGTGGCGAGGTGGGTGTTGGTCTCTTCTCCCAAGTAACTAGCGATAGGATGAGAGGAAATGGCCTCAAGTTGTGCCAGGGGAGGTTTAGATTGGACGTGACGAAAAATTTCTTTACTGAAAGAGTGGTTAAACGTTGGAACAGGCTGCCCAGGGAAGCGGTTGAGTCACCATCCCTGGAAGTATTTAAAAGACGTGTAGATGAGGCGCTTAGGGACATGGTTTAGTGGGCATGGTGGTGTTGGGTTGACAGTTGGACTCAATGATCTTAGAGGTCTTTTCCAACCTTAATGATTCTATGATTCTGTATCTTTCCTCAATGGAACATATCACCGCAATATGTAGGAGACCAACGGACTAACTGCTTATTTTGTGTCTTTTTATGTATTACATCTTGTACTGATGCCCTTCCTCCCAACAACATCTACATGAAACACCTACGTACTTATACATTTTTTCTGATGTAACTGGTTGCACATTTCAAAGTGAAAATGTACAACACAGGGTAGGAAGTCTCTTGACTTTTAATTCTGCTTGCTCTCTTCTGTTTGTCACTGCTCGTATTACAGAGGAACGGGTTGCAGCAATAACATATTATCTGAAAAGGAACTTAGTGAAGTTTCACTTAGGAAACCTTGGATCTTCTGGGAGAGTTTTCTTAAGTGTGTGGGGTTTTTTTAGTAGTTGTTTCTATGAGATTGTAAGCTGTGCGCCATTTGTCTCTTGTCTCTATAAACTGCCAATGCTCTACTTGTGGGCAAGTTTAGTGTCTTAGCGTGAAACAGTTAAAGCCATCCTGCTTTCCATAGTTCAGCTTCCTTTATTTTTAGCATCTGGGCTGCTTTCACTGTCTCAGCAGTGACTTTAGGGCATTTTTAAAAGGTGATTGCAATACCTGAAAATCTAATTAAAAACAAAGCCTCGAGAACCCAGTTATCTTTTCCATGTTTAGTACATGAAAGGCTAAAAAGTGATTTTACTACATAATTTACATCTTTGAATGCAATAGCGGCACAATCATAACTAGTGCTGTAACACTCCAAGCAATAAGGTAGCAAATTTGTACCTCTTTTGATTTGGCCTGACAAACTAGTGAAAACGCCCATAAAGCTGGCTGTCTTTTTTTTACCTAACAAAACAGTTATGCTTCCGCACCACCCAGATGCAGTAATGCTAGTTAAGAAGGTGAAGAGTGTTTTTCACTCTCTCCCACCTCTGCTGCCTCCCCTCCCTGGCCAGCCCTAAATAGGAGAATAGCTGTGGGCCTGTGAGCTCACTTTACTGCTAGGACCGCTTGGGGGGAGTGGATGTGGTTCTCCTGGTTTAACCATGAGGGGAAAGGATACAGCTTTTATGTAGCTACACTCTTGAAAAACTTAATGCCTCTATGGCAAACATTATTTCATAGTTCTTAAATTTCAGGTATAGTTAATTTCTGGGAAATGTTGAGGTAATGTTCCTTTACCTACAGTCATCTAAATTTTTAGGGACTGACTCAGATATCCTCTGAAAGGTTTATTATCAGTGGGGAATACCTGGAGAGGAGGAGGAGAGAAAAAGCGAGGGTGGAGGCCTTTAGTTTCGTTATTTCATTCCAAATTTAGGTAAATAAGGGCTTAACCTTCTGCATAGAAGTTTGCAAGCCAGAGGCTCTTCTCTGGAAACGCTCTATCTCCAGCCTACAAATGTTTTAATCCTATTCATTTCAAGTGCCCTCACAGCACACAAGGGGAAGAGCAGGGGCATAACCTGTAGGCAGCAAGGCATTGGGATGATAAGGGGAGCTGCAGACAAGATACGCAAAGATGTCCCTTACAGTCCTTGCCCACATCCCCACTTTCAATACTCCTTTTGCCTTAAGCAGGGCTAATTTTTTCATGAAATGATTCCAAGTGGTGTACCAGAGTTAAAAGAAAGACGTTTCTAGGCATCAGTTTTCACTACTGTATCACACTGGCAATAGACATTAATGTTTGGCGTCTCCTTCCATACAAAATTAGTCTTGGATTTGAAGCACATGCTTAAAAAACTTGGTATACACTAAACATAAGCCACAGTTTGTGGGGGTGCATTCAAGGGAGTCGCCAAGCAGCTTGATGCAGAATTAGTGCCACGGCTTGTTTATCAGCTGGATCCAAGCAGCACCAGCTGTACTTCTGCACCTAGGGAGCCTTGCACTGGAAGCCTCCTCACAGCAATTCTGTCACCGCTTGGTCCAAACTCTTTGATCACCTATGGTGATTGAATTACGAGCCTTTTATTTAACAGGAGTAGCTGTATGGTCACAAAAGAAAAGCTCGCAACTCTTATTTAGAACCAATAACTCATATTTAGTTAAACATCCCTGACAAAGGAGGGCAGAGGCCTTCTCAGACTGTAAAACTGGAGCAGACAGACCACAGGGGATATAAATACAGGCAGGTAACATACACATTTCTAAATCTTCTTTGTGAATAAATGAAGACATAATTTGAGCAATAGGCAGACTGATTCACACACCTGTCTGTGCTGTGCCTTGGGCTGGACTCCAGCACGTGAAAGAATATGGTAAAGTAAAGCAAAGCCCACAGGGGCTGTTAAATAGAGGAAAGGTCCCCCAGGGAGGAGTTTTGCAGTCACTTTTAGCGGCACGTCAGCCAAGCCAACTGTGAGGCAGAATGCTAATATGAGCTTCTTAAGAGGCTGGAGCACTTGATTAACTTGCTGCTTTAGTTGGGTCTGTGAAAAGATAAGTCTTTACAGGGAAGAGCTGGAAGTCACAAAGTGCTGCCGGAGAAGCTTGCTTTCTAGGAGTTCTGCGGGGAGTTTCAACTACAAACAGGTTGGATGTTTGAGTTTGGATTGGCATTCAAACTTGCCTACAGCTCAGGTGTATCAGAATTTCATTCCCTCCTTGTCCTTTTTGTCCTTGCCTCATACAAGTGTATCTGACCTCCCTCTCCTCCCCTTGCCCAGTCCACCCCAACAAATGTGACTGTTTCCTCCTCTGACCGTCTCCAGATTTCATTGCAGCTTCCTCTCTCTTTTAAATCACAGCTTCTGTAAGTAATCCTCACCTGAATGAGGAGACCTGTATCGAAAGTCCTCTTTGGTCAGGAGCAGCAGAGCCTTGCCGTTCATCTCAAAAGTGTTGCTCTCAATTGGCCTCAAGGAAAACTCCTTCTCCGCCCACCTGAGCCACTGTGCCACATCATCCCTGCTCCAGTAAACGGGCTGCAAACCTGTGGCAGGAAGAGACCATGATTGTGTTACCAAATTGAGATAAGGCATGGGAATATAGGCAAACATCAGTGAATTGCCCTTTCTCCCCACTCCATAATGTGCAAAGTCTCAGAGGAAGGTGTGGGAGAGGAATGTCATGTTGACACAGAATTACTCTAAGCACTGGACTGTGAAATACTTCATTAGTTTAGGTACCTCGGTTTATCTGTGACATGTTGAGAAACAAGAACTGCCTCAACATCCTGAAAAAAACTTCTAGGACATTATTTCATTCCGGTTTCCACTTTTCCTCCAGCTGCTCCTTCTGAGGTGCAGAGCAGGCAGGAGGCAAAGTCCTTGCCCCATCCATCCTTGGTGTGTATCTTTCATAGAAGGGAGGCGTGCTCTCTCTTCATGCCCCTTGTAAAGTCATTGATCAAGAATAGTGAAAAGTAGTCAGATGCAAGACAGCTATGGCCATACTTCCCTCTAGGTGGCTGGGGTCTGTAAAGAAGGGCTGCTTCACACAGCCTCTGTAACAGCGGGTCTGTAAGCGGTTATCAGTGCGGGTATGGTTAAGAAAGGTGTATTTGGACTGGCCCACCCCTCCTGCAGATGCCGTTACGCTAGCAGATGCTATTCCCACACTGGAGAGGAAAATAAGCGCTGAGGCTGTGGCACCTTTAGCACTGCATTAGCTTGTGTTTCCTGTACATCGATAAAATATTACCAATGTAACTCTGTCCATATAAGGGTGGTATGCCATTTTATAGTAAAATAGCAGGTATGTTTGATTTGGGCACAGATTTTCCAGGGCTCCAAGGAGAATCTGGCACTCCCTTTCTCCCAGCCAGCTCGTACAGCATATACAGCCTAGACTACTGTATTTACTCACAGGGACCTAACCAAGTTACCGTGAAAGTCAAAGACCTTTTGCCTGCTACCTTTATTGGGCCCAGGCAGAGAGGCTTGGGAGGTATGACAATTCAATGTCTGTTTTACAGACAAATTTAAAATAGCTTCCTTCCCCTGGAGAGAAGGCAGCATGGTGAAGAGCTGTTTATACCCAGGTAGAGAGATTATCTCCAATCCACTGGGAGATAAAAGCTTTCTTTCCTTTTCCCCCTCGTGAGATGACTCATTGTTTGACTTGCTACAATGTGTTGCGTAGAAATGAAAGCTTCACACTGTGCATAGGAACATAAAATTTGCCGTATCTGATCAGATCTCTGGTACACAGCCTCTGGCAGGAGCTAATACCTTATGCTTCAGAGGAAGACGAACCTCCCTTCCTCATATTGCACCTGGCTGATTGTATGCTGCACATGGGAAGAAATTTCCTTCCTGGCACACCATTCTCTCAGATCTGATTACCCTCCTCCTACCCAGCACTAAAAGAAACCTGGGAGAGTTGTACCGCTCTGTTTTGTTTTGGTTTTTACTTCTTTAACAGATAGGCAACGCTTTTTTCTGTTTTAGCAAGAGGTCACATGCAGTGAATTGCATTCTGCTGCTATGCCAGATTCCCAGACAGCGGCTTTGGAAAGTCCCAGAGCCACAGCTGCATACAGAACTGAATCTCAGTCGGAAAAGGAATTGAGATTGAGCCTGAGAAAGGGTCAGAGTTGACCTAAGGAAGGGACGTCTGCATGGCAGCAGCAAGAATTCCCACCGGCTTTCAACTGCCCCTGTAGCACTGTATTATGTACCCCCCAGAAACAAGAAGTAGCATTTATTTATTTATGAAGGACTTAAATTCTCTTCCCCCTATTGAATTAGGGTCTGATTACTGGGGTCAGAGTTTTCTGTAGGACCTTTCTTTTTGAAGAGACTGGGGTGAAGTGTAGGTCTGCTCAGAGACATGCAAACTGTCATCTAAAATGCCAGAGCGAGGTTCATCTTTTGCTGAATACAGGGTTATTCCTGCAGAAAACACACTCCAGACCCTAGGCTGCTGCTGGGCAGCATGCACATTGACTGCAGCTAAAAGAGAAAGAAGTCACATGTGATGCAGCCAGACCACAACTTATGAAAGGGTTTAAAAGACCATCTGAGGAGTGCTTGAAATGCTAATGCGTGGTTTCTTTTGCCTCTCCCTTTGCCATGCCATGCAAGTAAGAAGTTGCCCAAAGGAGCACTGTCATGTGGAAACCTAACTGGACTTCTGATGTGCACTTCACAAGATGAGGCATGAAACAAAACAAAACATCTCTGGGAAAATCAGGCCAACACGGGCAGAGCTATATGATAACTTCACATGATGTGCATGCTCCCCTATAGATAACAACATAATAAATAAATCACTCCCTGTACAAGCATAGATCATAATTTCCCATGTCCTGGTGACAGTGTATTTTTGCATTCCGTTCACCCAGTACAAAAGTACCATGTCTAAAGAGAGGTTTAAATTGATTGGTGCTAGACCCAAAACAGCCAAATAAGCTACACAGACTGGGACAAACCACATGTGCTGTGCTGACAACTCTGAAACAGACCCAACGCTTCACACTGCAAATCAGGTCTCTGCTGGGTTTCAGCAGCATCTCCGAAGCTTGTGAGAAAAGCCCCAAAGTAGTATGACCTAGGACCACTTGGCTTCTAGTTACTGAGAATCAGCAAGCAGCCTTTCTAATTCAGTTTGGTTATCGCTAAAATGAGTGGGTGGACACGCCACATCTCTCCACCCATGGGGTGATACCATAATTAAATACTTACATTGTGTTTGGAAGATATAAAGTGCCATAAAATAAGTTAACTGCTTTTCCCTAGATGGATTGCCTCTTCTCTCATTTCCCTCCCTCCCTGTCCTGCCTCTTTCCTGGGAAGTTAGTGCCTCCAAAAAACCCTCTTTAATTGCCTGCCTCCACTGCATGCCCATTTGCTCTGTGAGGCTGAACCAGTTCGGTCGCAGGAGGCTTTTCTGGGGGTGCAGACCAGTGTTGCTGAAAGTGCTTCAGAAACTGCCGTTCAAAAAATAATTATTTCATGTGCAGTACAGCATTTACTAGACTTGTATCCCACCTTCTTTGCCCTTTCTTAAAAAGAAGCAGTTGGTTTTGTGTAAACAAGGGCATGAGAGGGTTGGCTTTGCAGCTGAAGCAATTTTACAGCACAGCATACGTAGCTATCAGTAGGTCCTGAAAATGCTGTCGTATACTCTCCATGAAAGAAAAACTAATCCTGCTTATACAATTTTTCTTTTTTGGATGCTGTTTCTTATTTTCCCCTCTCCATCTTCTCTTTTATTGTCGCGTCCACAGTGGAGGAAAATGGGCCCTTTTTATCTCTCCAGTTTTATTCTCTGTGAAAGCTAACAGCATTGTCTTCAACTAACAAAGATATTTACCAAGCAGAATAAAGTGAGGAAAATCAGTGCTGTGTTACAAAATGAGGACAGAGTTTTGCCTGCTGA